ACCCTGTCATGTTCAGCTGAATGCTAATTGCGTGTGGTACTAAGGCACCCTTATGTGCTTTGGCAGGAGTTTTCATTTCTTCGCTGTTTGTTTTCTTGGCCTGACCAGAAGGTGCCCCTTCTTGAGCCTTATGCTCAAGTCCTATAGTACAGACAGAGGCTCAAAGCTGACCCACCATGCGTTGATGGGGGGTGGGGGATCAGGTGCAGAATAAGCATCTCCTACTGGCCTGTCAGGCTCCCACAGTTTGCACCTTGCCGGCAAGGCGAGATGCACCGGCTCTCCAATCAGCAATAGCTCTCTCCCGCGTGACATGCTGTGTGTAAAGTGTGTAGAGCCTTGACCTTGGCAAGCGAAGCTACAGATGAACGGCGCTTGTGCCACCTGGCCCCCGGAAGGGACGCGGGCCGATGCTGAGAATACCGGGGTTCTACGCAGTCTCCGAAACGACTTAGTCTATGGCTGCATAGGTTTTCGACAGCCTCGCCTCAAAATAGAATGGCGATAACAGAGCCCTGTGTGTGTGTGTGTGTGTCAATCCGTGTCTGCGTGCGCACGTATGCTCACGCTTATGAGTGTCAGGGTGCCTGCCCGCCGGTGCTGTGAGGAAATGCAATTTCTGGAGCAAAATAAATGGTTTATGTTATGGATAAATACCATAAGCTTTAAAGATTACAGTGTAAGCCAGCGTTTACAAATTGAGGATGTAGCCCAGCCTCATGTGAATCCAGAGAAAGGGGCTTAGCTATTCGACTCACATAGCATCTCGCCAACAGTAGGGAAGAGGCAATGACAATGCTGCTGCCTTGTTCCTGATAGTATCTACTATAAATGAAGGCAATGATATTTCTAAGGTCACAGTTATGGTTTGGATTCCTCTGCTCTTTTTCTGTAGGCCTCTTTTATTCCACAGTTACTTGGGGGCAGAGAACTATCTCAGTAATCAAAGGATGCAGAGGGATTCACATCAGCGGGTCGTGTGAGGACACTGTTCACACCGAAAGCGTGTCGCATACATCAGTTAGTTTCAAGCCATGTCCTTGGCCTTTGATCGGAGCGGTTGATCTTTTTTGAAAAAAAAAAATTTAACCGTGGACAAATAAAAACATTGTGATGACACGGATAAAAATGTTTTTCCTTCATAAATTTATGGCTGAAAGAGATGGGTATGAGCAGCTTGGTATTCAGTCAGCTGGTATTCAGTCACACAGGCCATTCGATTCTCAGGGTTAACTCGTTTTCATCAGACAGTCAGCCTTGGCTGGCCTTTAAGCTTTTCTTGCGTCATATTTACCGAGGTGACTTTGGCATAAACACAAGTTCCCTGAACCTGTATTTATTCGAATACTTCCAGAGAGAACGTCCTTTAGGAATTATGAAAATACATCATAACTGTAATTTAAGAATCGTACGATAAGCATAAATTACCTGACTTTTTCTTACAATATTTAACTATCACTACGTTTTACCTCTTGCTGCCTGCAGCATATTTCTGCATTAATATACATATTTCCTATTATTCATATCATAGCGTACAATATATTTTGGGTTGTATTTCAGTTGTATTGTATATAATTTAATGTAACTGGCTTCCTGTCCAAGGGGCCCCTTGCATGGGACACAAAGCTACCCTGTACTGGATAAGCAGGAAGGAAGATTGATAGATGGATGGATGGACAGATAATTCAATGCAATCACATTTAGGTTACTAAACAACATGAAAAACATTATCGAGTGCAACATTTTTGCCTTTGACTGAAATACATTATTCTGATCAAATAAAGTCCCTGAATTTACAATTATTTATTAAAATACGAAAAATATTATAAAATACAAACAATTTTAGGAATTTATTCATTGCATCCTTGAAATGCATGATGCCTCTCTGTTAGACAGTATGCAAGGCTCTCAAGTTGCTTCAAAAGTTCGGAGCGAGATTTCATTAGGGGCGAAACGTGCCTCTCAAGGTCAACGCATGAGATTTGAGAGCCCTACCTATCGCATTCATCGGATCTTGCTCTTCCACCTCCACCTTGTCAGCACTCCGTGTGTATGCGCATCCATGTAATACCGTGCTTGCAGTGGGATCACATGTAACTTATTTTGGAATTTACCCGGAAATGACAGATGCTATTTTCTGATTGGCTGGTAAGGAGCGATTAACTCCGTATTACATGGGACAGTTATGAACTTCATAGGCTCTGTATGCCTACGGCTCGTCCACTGATTCTTCTCAGCGTGAGATGCACAAGACATGGCATGTGAAGGTGTGAACTGGCTGGAATGTGTGTGTCTCATGGTCAGTTCGTGAGATTTGAGATCCATGTCCTTCTGTGCAAAGCACACACAGCTTCAATGGCCTGCCTGTTATCAGTGTATCAAGAGAAAGGTATTTCTTACGCCGGCTGTAAATATAGTCCGCTGTCAATCATGCCATCCGGCGAGCTCGTTCTCCTCTTTGCTTTCCCGCTTACTATTCAGCTGAGGCTCTCCCAACTTCCCCCTTCCTTTAGCTGTGCTAGGGGCTGCAGGTACTCCCCGCTACCTCTGTGAGGAAGTATCAGCACTGCAGGAGGTTTTGTTATGCATCTATGAGGCAGGACCGGTCCCCTGAACACGTGGGGTTAAGCGATGCTGAACCCAAATCATAAATCAGCTCAGTAACCAGCCCAGGTGACCCTAAGGTCACTCCTTCATTAAGTGTCTGACACATTCTTTTTTTCCCTCATGGAAGTCATTTGTGAAGAGAGAAAAAAAGTAATCTTCCGGTTATTGATCCACTTCATTGATTGGCTGTAGCGTTTTTGACCAACTAGTTAGAAGTAATCAGGACCAGTCACATGGAAAGGGACATCTTTGATTGACAATCACTTCTTCATGTCCTTTTTTCAGTGGTAGCCATGGTAACACTGCTCATCGAAGACTTGAAATAGGGGCGTGGTGAAATGCACATTGATAACAGTAACTGCAGTACCATAAAAGTTCCTTTTTTTGGCCAAGGGTTCCAGAAATCGTGAATTTACGATTCTGGTGCGTTGCGCTGTTATACGGGATTTTTACAACATCATCCATCAAATAAAAAAATAAAAAATAGAAAAAGTCGTGCCCTTGAACAAATGTTTTTTTGTTTTTTTCTTTCTCCACTGACAGTGTTCCAGCACATTCTCATCTTTTACTGATTCCTACCTCAATGACAGTAATTACCTTCACATAACCTTCCAGGCTGGTGTGTTTGCCTGGTGAATTTCGGTTTCTTTTTTACTCCGTAAAGAAAGTGTAACTTATCAGGTTTAGCTGCAGCTGGTACCAGCCAGCAAAACGAAACGCTCTGACTCAAGGTGTGACGGTTCCAGTCGGCATGCTTTTCCCACACGCCTTGGATGATATCTTTGTGCTGCTCGCATGTATCATTTTGTATCAGTGTCAGTCATGTTTATTGCTAGGAATTAGTCACACTAGGCATATTTTTCATCGTTTTTTTATACATTATAGACCAGTGCTGGGGCTTGATTTCTGGAGAGATGCTGCAGATATATTTGAAACTGGGCAGCTCTGCCTCAAACCCCCCGTGTGAATCAGGACAGTGGAGTATGAGTCACATGCCGTAAATTGTGACGGGCCGACGGAAGTGCTCAAGGTGTGGATGCATCTTTGTTAGCTCAGCAAATCATGGGACAGGCAAGCAGTGACGCTGCTGTAGCCATGATGGTGTTAGGACTGTGAATATCCTGATTATTGACAAAGAACTGAGGTACTGTGGCATATACAATAGGAGCAATAATAATCATATTTTTTTTTAAAAAAACAAAAAAACAACAGCTAATGTTGCTTGGGTCACCAATAAATTAAAAAAATTCTGGATTTAAACCAAAGAATGTCCTTCATCTCCTGTGGCAATAAAATCTGTTTTTTGCTTGTTTGTTTTTTGAAGAATGATGTGAGGATATGTGAAGAATGGCAAGAGGATGTATGAGATTAGTGTTGTTGTACAAATTGTCCTCTGTAACCGAAAACAAACATCTGAATAACAGTAAGTAGTTCACCGTTATCCTCTAGCAGTAGTCAAGGGAGATAAAAGTAAAGTGAAAAAAATTATATTCACCCCCCTGTAAGATGGCCTGAAGCATGCTAGAATTTTATCTACTTCAGCCCTTAGAGTTTTTTCTTTTGGGGGGCAGGGTGTGATGCACCTGAAGGTTGGTTATGTGAATATATGTTATGTGAATATATATGTTATTACTTTTCATAAAATAAAGAAGAATGGTAAAAAAAATTAATTAATCATAATGAGAATCAAGATTTGAAACACTCCAACAAGCAGACTTGTGCGTTAAAGGTTAAAAAAGTATAAATATACTGAACATCAGGAAGGGCAAGATTTGCAATACAGTCCAACAGATGGCTTTCAAACCATACAGTAAATTATGTGTTTGAAATAATTTGAACTACGCTTAATAGCATGCCTGGCAAAACTCGACACACACTCCAACATAACAGCATATTAGTTTCTCAGGCAGATGAGAATTTCCACAAATTAATCTTCCAGCGAAGTTACTGATCGAGTTTTAATTTTGAAAAGAACAGAAGCAGCTGTTAATATAGTGTTCCTCATGTCATTTGATATTTTTGAAGTGTTCTAGATAGATCATATATGTTCATAGAAATATATCCTTTTGTCCTTTATTATTAATTATTGTTGCCCTTCCAGAAGTGTTAGCGTTGCAATGCTTCATAGCATAGATGTTAAATAAATTGCATCAATCAGGTTTCTATATTTATGTTCATACAAATGTGTCCTTGAGTCCTTCAGTAATGTATAATTACTGTTGCACTGCTAGAAGTGTTACCTTTGCAATGTAATGTAGCGACAAATTATACTTGGTACCTCCAAGACATTTACGGATGTTCCAGGTGAATCCTCCGTGTTACCCAGAGAAGCCACAGGTTGGCTTATGCTAACATGTGCTGCTTTATGAAAAATGAATGTGCTCTCTTTTCAGATCCTGACTTTAAAGATCTGGGAGTCCCGAACCCTCTGCCCTGTAGGTATCATTTATTCCTTGCAAGCTAAGTACCCCACCAGGGGCCCGTACATTGCCCATCTGTTCTCTAATCTATTGTTTCATGCGTTTTCCTGTGGCTCAGTCTGCGAGTTTGAGATGGGGGGACCTGAAGGCATCGTCGAGTCACTGCAAATCGCGAGGGATGGCAAGGCCTTGCAAACCGAGGCCGTGGACTGCAGGTGGTACATCAGGGCCCCCCCACGGTCGAAGGTGAGATGGTCGTCACTGACAACAGCTTATCAGCGTCTGACTGTCTGATCTGCCGGCCAGGTTGCGCACTTGAAACTGTGATAGCGGTGATATTAGAGTATAATCACTGTCATTATTTTCACTGCCTGTTACTACTGGTGTTGTGGTAGCTGGGAAATTTCATCATAACTTCAGTTTATTTATGCTTTTCCCGCTGGTTTTCATCGTGTCTGATGATACCAATCCACAAAATCAGAGTCTGACTGCAATAGGAGTACATGGGTGGGGCTTCTGCATTTAAGGAGGGAAAACTGTGGAGGTCACTGCAGAGGTCGAATACCCAGGAAAGGTCTGCTCCTCAAAAGGTCTGGCTGGAGGCAAAGCCATTTTCTCTACATCAGGCAAAGTTTTTTACAGGTTGAACGTCAAACGAAAGACTGAGCTTCACTGTTGATGAAACAGCGATATGCCATTTGCTCATTTGTTTGCCTGATAGGTTGTTATTGCTGCTGTGTGTTTGTTTTTTGTTTTTGTCTGGATTGTTATGGCTTTACAGACATTTGTGTTTATTCTCAGTTCCTACTCAGATAGCTTGAGGTTAACGAAATCTGGTAATGCACCATTAGTAATTTGCAAATGGGAGGTGCCCCGTGAATGCATATTTCCCAAGGCGGTTGCGCAGGTAGAAAGCTGTAGATTCAGCGCTTTCGTTAGGGTAATTTATTCAGGTGTCAGGATCCGTTTGTTCCTTCATTATCCGCTACGGAGATAGCGACACCGGAGACGACGCTAATGCATCGCCGTTTGAGTTGCAAAATTGCTTTCTGTCAGTTAAATCATTCTGATAATTCCCGATGTGTTTTAATGTTACGCCGGAGATTTTCCCTCCTACTTTCCCTTTGTACTTCCATCCCACCTTTTCCTCTCCCTGTGTGGAAAACCGTAGCTGTTGTCTTTTGATTGAAATTTCAGAAATGGATTGGAACAGTTGATGCACAGACACAGTTTTCTCTGAATTTATGGTCCTGAACAGTATTTACCATCTTATCTGGCACAACTAGAGAGAGCCATCCGGGCTTTTAAACGAAGAAGGCACTGCAGATACCTTAGTCCATAGCGGCTTGTATTTTAGCTCTCTGAGGTCCTTCTGTCTTATCTCTCTTGCTGTTAATTGCTTTTCCCATGGCGAATCTGAAGCTGTACAGTTCGTTGGGGCAGGCAGAACACCCCGATTCACAGTTACGTTTCCAGCTCCTATCGCAGTGACATTTTCAGCCGGGAAGGTGTGTTTTTCGGGGTCTTTTTATTGTTGTGCTTCTGAGCGGTCTGTCAGCCGGCACGTGTTACGTAGGCCCCCCCACTCCAAAACAGCTCACACATTCTCTCTCTCTTTCTCTCTCTCTCACACACACACACACACACACACAGACCTGTACTCCTGTCTTTGTGTGGACTTTCCATTCATTTCTATGGGCAAAACCCTAATCCCAACAATGACAACCTTAATGCCTACCCATCTGTCACCTTAACCATAAGTAACCAAACAAAATACAACTCTTCTGGCATCTGTGGTTTTGCGATTGCAGTAACAGATTTAAAAAAAAAAAAAAACTTTCCCCTTGTGGGAACTGAAAAAATGGTCCCGACAGTGTCAAAATAACAGGTTTTATCATATTATAGGGACATTTGGTGCCCACAATGCAACATATATCTGACCCATCCACACACACACACACACACACACACGCACACACAAACAGCTTGTCCTTAGTAATTATGCAGTGGCTTACTGATAATTTTATGTACTATGATCGATTGCCTGAGCAGCTGATTTCAGTGTTATCTGATGTCCTCCAAGGGGCATAAATTAAATCTTCCCTCCCTGTCTTCCTTTAGGAGCACGCAGCCTGTAATTACTTAGGTCACTTGATGTGACTTTGCTAGCACACAATAAGCCTTTCTGTTTATATACATTCTTCTTCTGTTACATTACAATGGATTTTACCCTCTACAGATGGATGTACCGTGTTCAAATATGATGGTTTGCTTGATAAGGTGTTATTGATTACCCCCCATCTCACTTAGTAGATTACGCAACAAAGCACAAGTCGCGCCTTATGCCAATTCAATGGTGGCGTCTTTCAAGGGAGCAATGCAAGTTAAGCACTCAGCTCAGGAGTCGTACAGCAAAGCCCCCCCCCCCCCTGCACTGGAACGTGAGTCTTCGGGAGACAAGTCCTTCACTTCAGCTGACGCACCACCACCCGCCGGCTGATGCTAACCTCCTCGACAAGCAGGCTGTGTCTTAATCCGATTTCTGTTACCGACACCGACGTGGGAACAGATTCATCCCTGTGACATCTTCAGCCGCGCTCCCCCCGTCCTGGCGGCGAAATGCGCCGATGTTCCCGTCTCACTCCAGCTGCCAGGTGACATCGCCTGGCGTCGGGTACAAATTAGTCAGTGCAGTGACGATGTGATCTGCACCTCAAACACGTCGTGGACCCAGAGTAAAAAGATTTAAACTATAGTAACATGCGGTCTATCTATAAGCTGCTGCCATGGACCATGGAATCAGAGCGCAACTTTTGGATCATTAAGAATGCAGTGATGAACAAAAAAATTGCTTCAACTAATTTAATGGGAATCAATACAACTTTATTTGAAAAAAAAGCTTATGTTATGTATCTAAGTTTCTCAAAAGCGAACAGACATAACTTTATGCTCTACCCCCCCCCCCCCCCCCCCCCCCCCCCCGGCCTGCCCCCATTCAGATGCATCCCATGGTCCATGGTTCCCATCCTACCAAGAAGAGCCTGGGAGATATATTCTTGGGAGATATATTCATGGGAGATATATACTTGGGAGATATATTCTTGGAAGATATATACTTGGGAGATATATATCTGGGAGATAAATTCAGAGCTCCTGCAGAAAATAAATAAACAAATTAAAGAAGAATCTAATTAAAACATACTTGGACAATCAAGCGAAGTCTCTGGAATTTGCAGAGGTGCTAGGTATGGAATGCTTCGACCGGCCCTAAGGGGGCGTAGTTACAGAAAAAGTACCTCCATCCAATGGGATATGTTAGCATAGGGCGTTTGAGTGGCTATGGGTTGTGGCTGATACTGCCAGGGCCCCGAAGGACGAAAGGCTGGATGATACTTCCAGGTGGCTCCTCACCAGATCCGAGGCTTTGGAGGACGTCATTTTTTTAATGGCCGCTAGAAGCTGCTGGAGGGGGTGGGCATTACCGCAAAATTATAGCAGAAGAGGGAAAGTAACACCTTGCCCCCACACTCTTATTTACCCTGCCTTAGAAACACTCGCTGTCAAGGCTAAACTTTTTAATTGACCTCGTTCCTCACAGCTCTCTCCCGCGTCTCTGCTTTGACCCCTAAATGAAAAACCGTTCCATCTCACTCCAGGAGCTCATCCTTCATCCCTCATCGTACTTTGCTGATCCCAGCAGCAGCTCCAGTTTAGCACACTTTACAGAGTATGTTGTAAACTAATTGGAAATTAATGTAGATTGGTGGATTTTTGTGTGTCTTTGCAGAAATAGCTGTAAATATTTTATGAGAGCATCTGTATTCATTGCGAAATGTGGCGGGAAACTTTCTTAAATGGCTCGGCACACCCCTACAAGTTCTGTGGCAGTAAACTGCTTCTGCAAGTGGCAGGCTTTACTCCACACAAAGCAGGCCCATCACTGCAGTAGTAATCGCTGAGAATTCTGGGAAAAAGCCTGATGACAATGGGCAGCACATGCTAAGCCTGGAGTTCTAAACTCTTCGCGATCGTTTTCCCTCTGTGAGGAGCCTGTTAGTCATCTCTGCGAGACAGATCTTCTTTTGAAGATTCATCCGTGGCTTCGTACTGCGGCGAAGACACAACAACTGCATCCCAATCGCAGTCCCACGCACACCGACCTCCCAGAGAACCTCACGTTTGTGGTAGAGGAAGAAACAATGGCTGCTGTTTTTTCTTTCCCTTCTTCCGTCTCCGTTAATTATACTGGTAATCGTTGCAATTTGGATGTACTCATCACGTTTTCAGATGCATTCTGTCTCAGTGCTGTGAGGATCAGTCCAGAGCTGGCCAGGTTTCTCAGCGAGCCAGCAATCTGAACACAAGATGGCACAGAAAGGAAAGATGCATTGTACTCATTTGGTCCGCATTAGGTCTCTTTCCTGTCCTGTTTCATTATTGTCGTTTTTCTTAAAGGTCCACTAATCCCACCTCCCACAATGGGACGGTACGGATGGTGTTAGCGAGTTGAGTGGCAAGTGTGTGAAACAGCTTGTTGGAAATTTACGTATGTCATTTCTCCAGGAAGCGTTTGACTTGAGAATCGTGAGCTCACATGTGGCCATTTTGTCCTGTCAGATACACCCCCCCCCCGTCCCGCATCGCCCCCGGCATTGACACGCTGTGATGGAAATGGAGCATTCAGTAATGAAACGCTGGGTTTCTGAGGAGAGGGCCATTCGTAACATCCGGGGGCGTGGCGTGCAGGAAGGCAATGCGGATGCCGCTTTTAAACAGACACATGCACCTCGCTAGGATCCCCTTGAAGCCTGACTGACATTCTGTGGGCCATTAGTCTCGCCTCACGATGCCCCGTGCTATTCGTCATGCCGAAATTAAAGCCTTGTATTTCCTCGCCATCACCTTGCGTTGGAGACCTCGAGATAAGGCTGTCATCACCACAGACCTTAAGACTGTAAACACATCACATGAAGCTTTTTATATATTTAAACAGCGAGGGATAAAAAACATGTTTCCTGCAGTGAAAGCTGTATTTTGGATGATTCACCAAAGGTGTGAGTGGCGTGTGACTCAGCAGGTTAGGCTCCTGTACATATTATCTGAGAGGTTACCGGTTCAAATCCCATCCTTGGTAGAATAGTCACATCTGTTGGGTCCTTGCACAAGACCCTTGAACCCTTGACCCCCCCCCCCCAAAAAAAAAATGGACTACAGGTGCCGATTAAACGGCTGACCCCCAGCTTCGCTCTCATCTCTATATTTGCATTTGTATGTGTCATAGGACAGCAAGGATGGGATATGTGAAAGGAAGCATTCCAATGTACCTGAACTCATGCAAATGGCAAATAAAGCATCATTTGATTGTAAAATCCACTGCCTTATATATGAGGCACACCTTAAAATGGACCCCTGGTCTCTGGGAGACTTTGGCAATTTGCATCCCCGTTTTCATTGTGGAAGTTGAAAACATCTGAGCTCCAGAAAGCCAGTGACTTGATGAGAAAAAAATGTCAATTCCACAACCCACGATTGTTATTTTTCTGTTAACCAACTAATTACCCTTCAAATGGTGCCAACACTAGTCCAGTCATCAAAACCATCCTGCCCCTCATGTCCTCCAACCATAGTCATAGGATATTTGCTCTAGGAACTCGCTACCCCTAGGCGGCTATTATCACCTGTTCTGGGTCACGATACCCCAACAACAACCTCTCTACCTCACTAAAATTATATTTCTAGCATCAAATGGCGCAAATGTCAAGTGAAATGGGATAAATGGAATAAATGTCAAAAATAAATGCAACCTAGGCCACCAATACAAGATCCACTCCTTAAAATGGTAAACTAGTGAAACTCACCACTAAAGCTGGTAAGCTTCCACTAAGGAATACAAGAGATGTTAAATTCATAAATGGGGGCAGTGTGTGGCTCAGTGGGCTAAGCCTCTGTGCCTGCGATTGGCAGATCACTGGTTCAAGCTCAGCCTCAGCACATCCTTGGGCCCTTGAGCCCCGCCTCTGTAGGTCCTGCTATGGGTGGCTGCCCTTGGCAGCCAGCTTGATCTCACCTACAGAGCGCAAGGAGGAGGAGGAGGAGTAAAGAGAATTTCCTCATGGGGACCAATAAAGTATCAATTATTATTACTATTCTATAAATTGTTGCACCGAACACCCAGGCTTCCAGCCTTAGTCTCCCGCATGCGGCCAAACGGAGACATGTACCCGCCGCTGGTGATCCTGAATCATCTCCATCACCGGTTCCCTCTCTGCCCTTGCAGATCTACTTGCGGTTCCTCGATTACGAGATGCAGAACTCGAATGAGTGCAAGCGCAACTTCGTGGCGGTGTACGACGGCAGCGGCTCCGTAGAGGACCTGAAGAGCAAGTTCTGCAGCACGGTGGCCAACGACATGACGCTGGCATCAGCGCTGGGCGTGATCCGCATGTGGGCCGACGAGGGAAGCCGCAAGACCCGGTTCCGCATCCTTTTTACCACTTTTCAGGAGCGTAAGGAAACCCTCTCCCGTTCTCCTTCCAAGCAGTTGATCACATTGAACAAGGAATTCAGTTTCCATTTGAGGCCTCAGAAAAGACAATCTTAGGGTAACAATGAAAAAAGATAAATCATAGACTGAAGTGAGGCATTAAAGATTAATTCATTCATTTTCTTTATTTGTTTGGAGAGCTGAGGTTCATGGGCTTCAGTACACAAAACAATGAAATAGAAGTATAGGTTACATTCTGAAATTGAGGACGTAAGTCAATCTGGATGTACCGCGATGATTATAGAGGAGAGGTCAAATATACTGTACAACATGAGATACAATATCGCACAAACGTAACTAAAGCTCTATAGCAGCAGTGCGGTTGGTTTATTTTGGTTCTTGCCACATGTTGCACACATGGTGACATACATCCACTAACGTCCACTATGCCTGCTTCTGACGTCTCTACATAAGTTTTATTAAGGCTCTTACGGGACCTCGGACCTAAGTACGATCAGACACAAGGACGAAAGTTGATGGATGACTGTATTTAGTTAGCAGGTTTTTGAGGATTTGACGCAAGAGAATATCTAATTCATTTGTATTTTCTAACATTGTATTTTGATTAAAGAGAGGTAATTCTAAACTTTCATAGCAGTGATTAGGTAACAAACATGGACACTTTTATAGCAGCGTTGAGGTACTGAACTCAGAAACTGTCACCCACATCACAGCCCTCTTAGTCCTTTTTTTGATTCACCTTGAAGAAACTTATCGCTTCACAATAACAGTACAGCTTATTTCAAACATTGCCGTTTCTCTAGAGTCCTTCATTAATTAATGAGCAAAAATGTCCAAGAGCTATCTGGAATCTTTCATCTAGGTTGGCGTATATGCCAGGGAATTTCTGTGGCCCTACTGAGAGATTGAAGCACCGGACATTATTCTGTGCTCTAGGGCGAGGATGCTGTGGGGGAGGGGATGGGTGGAGATTCGCCCCACGATACGAAGCAGCCCGGTTGGCAGAGTGCCACCATCAGAGATCGGGCCGTGGAACCAGCGGTCCTAAGGCTGCAAAGGCAAACCACACAAATTTTGGCGGGAAAAAGATAGGAGGAAACAATGAGCAGGCAGTCGGGCTAGCCTTTTCGTAATTCTTTTCTGGTGTTCTAATTCCTTACACTCCACATTCGCTGGACTAGCCTGCACCCATATCGTGCTTCTCTGAGGCACCGTTAAATTAACGTGAAATGATCTGAAGACGGGCATTAATGGCAGGCCGGCGCTGGCCAGCGCACGCACAGGGACATCATAATGGGCTATGCGAGTCCAAGCAGATGGAGCTTTGGTTGAGGAACAGACAGGCTTTAATCGGGGTTTCGCGAGCCTTCACAAACTGCAGCGGCCGCTTCTGAAGCCCATCTGCGCCATGCGCTCTGCGCAGTCCGTCAGCTCAGGATGTGCTGTTGCCCAGGAAACCCCTGCATAATCAGCCCTTACCCCAGGCAGGTTAAGACCATCAGCACTGTCTATGGAGAAGGGAAGGGGCAGCATCTGGGGGGAGGGGGGGGGGGTTAATCAGCTCTATCTTTATCACAGATACTGTAAAGACAGATATTCTTAGAAGCATTTCCTGTAAAACTTTCAATTGAAGGAATTTGAAATGCTTCATATGTAATTCCCTGGAATATTTCTGTCTGACACGCCTGTTGTTTGGTTTGAAGAAGTCATGTTTTTATTTTATCCCAAGTGAATTGCATTCTGATATGGTGCCATTTATTTGTGACTATGTTTACATCAAGGGAAGATGACAACAAATCAGTACCTGTTACTGATATTTTGCCTTATTGCCTTATTGTCAATTATAACTTGATTCACACAGCTAGTTGTTTTGGGATCTTTTTAATGCGAGCTTAATGCCAATAATAAACTATAGTATGAAAGAATGAGTCTCAGTGGAGATTAGTCCAGTTCCGTTTCTCAATTAAGAGAGAGTTAAGTGAGATCTTTCGTTATGGAGTGCTAGGGTACCACCTAGTGGTGATGGGATGTAATGACCCCAGGTTGATTTAGAGACAGTGGCGTATTAGTTCAGCGAGTAGAGTGATGACTCATCCCAACATCGCTAGTGTTATTATTCACCTGAGATTGCTGTGGAGTAAACTACATCACTGTAGCTATTCTGCACAACCTTGAGTTCTGAGGGGGTGAAGCATAGTAATGTGGTGCGTTTGAGAATGAAAGAAATGTTGGCGCTCCCAATCGATATTTGCTTATGACATTAGGACTTTGAACATCGCAGTAGCAAATGACGTTATACTTTGGGCATGGATGAACGTCTTTAGTATCATGTGTGATTGAGGGGGAGTTGCCTCCCCAGTAAAAGTGACCTTGATTTTTAATTACAAGATGACTGCAGGCTCTCGAATTTCAGCCGTTTTTCTTTCTGATAGCCTTCTACGGAAAACTTTGTCCGATCACATCTGGGTCGCATCTCTTCTGTTAAAATTAGGTTATGAACATTAAACATTTTTCCGGCTGAGATTTCGCACAAAAGCAATCTGTTTTAAATCCCAAATCATTGTTAAGTATGATTATTACATCATGCCTTTCAAAGAGTAGTGCACCTATAGCCAAAGTGAGTATTAAAGTGAAACGTATGATTAATTATGGTTAATTTACCATAGGAAAAGTCCGATTTCTTTTCATTCCGATAATCATGGTGATTTGACTGGCATTGGTTTTTCTAATGGTGTTATCAAAACGTGAAAGACGTGTAATGATTGCCGAACAGACACGGTGACTTTCTGACTGCCCGCCTTCCAGAGGTTATATATAAATTCACGTCCGCTATTAGCCATATTACAAAACGCCACAAACATGCATTTTAGTTCATGATGATTTGCGTGGACCTCAGCCAGTTGTTATTTTCCGGTAATTATCATAATACCCTCACTCTGTTTGGCTTGCAAGCCACATTGCTGAGAATGCAACGTCTATGTTGCTTATTTGGGATTGCCTTGTATTATTTTTTCCTTTAGCCCCGTGTGAAGCAGACACTTTTTTCTGCCACAGTAATATGTGCATCAACAACTCTCTGGTGTGCAATGGGGTGCAGAACTGTGTCTACCCCTGGGATGAGAATCACTGCAAAGGTGAGTCCGCTGGTTTCCATTCGGCGATTCTGACACCCTTCACACCACACAGAAGCTGGCAGCGGCAGATCCACCAGGATGGCGAGTCCCGGTGGGTCTACCTGTGTGTCAAAGCCGTATCTAGCATGTTTCCGTCTTTCACCCGCATGAAAAAGGAGACACGCCTTTGACTACGAATATGCATGGTTTCCATATAGAATTGCAGATAAAGCCTGTGTTTTTTTAGTGCAAAGTAGCCTCTGTGATGATGAAATCCTAGCTGCAAACTTTGCACTTGTATTTCCGTGTCACCATAAGCTAAATGAATTATAGCTCCAATTTCCAAGAATGGTTACACCGTTGTGGGCCTGTTCTTCACACAGGAGAAGGCGCGCAGGTGGCCGGAAACGACAATTCGCTAGAGTCAGCGTTTCCCAGTTACGTTTTTTTTGGCTGCATTGTTTTCCTCTGTTTGTCTCGAATTTTATATGGTAGCCCTCGGCACTTGTTCTCACATCCATTCTCATTGTTTCAGATGGTTTGTGTTCCCTGCTCTGAAAATACCTCTGAACACAACCATTTGCTTCCCAGTGGCCCAGACCAAATCAACACCCGTCATTATGCCGAGACTTATTCACAAATACCAGTCTCTTCCCCAAAGAGACGTTCAAGATCCCCATTTCCCAGCCATTTTAAAACAGCTGTACGTCTCGGAACGTTGTCTTGTTAGTCACACCCTTAATTCTTTGTTTTTGTATCATGCAGAGAAGAGGAAAGCTAACATTCTGGACAACCTCAACAACACGAACGGGACGATAATCGGAGTCACCTGTTGTATCGTGATTATCCTACTTATCGTCTCCGTCATAGTTCAAATAAAACAGCCTCGCAAAAAGTACATAATCAGGAGAGACGACTTCGACCCGACTATGTTTCAGGAGGTCTTTGAGCCCCCACACTACGAACTGTGCACGTTGCGCAGCGCCGCAGCCTCCGCCGAGCTGGTGGACCTGGCCGATGACCTGGAGACCTACCATAAACTCAGGCGCTCCTCCTCCCGATGTATTCACGACCATCACTGTGGATCCCAGCTGTCCAGCGTCAAGGGCAGCCGCAGTAACCTCAGCACGCGGGAAGCCACCATCCTGACGGAGATCCAGCCGCAGCCGGTCAGACCCCTGATCCCGCCCACCAATCGCAGGAGCATCCTGGTGATGAAGCACAGCTACTCACAAGACGCCACCGACGGCTGCGACCCGGACGATGACATGGAAGAAGTGCCGACCACAAGCCACAGGCTATCCCGACACGATAAAGGAGTGCAGCGGTCAGTATCCATTGATTTTTGATGAAGACTATCACTCGGAACACTTTAATACCCAAACATGTATTTGTTCCTTTTATTTATTTTTTCCCCCGTTTTATTTTATTTTTTTGCCTTCAGCCGTTTTACTTTTATTTATCTATTTATTTTTAAACTTTTATTTCTCCGTCTTTCATTACAACCTCTGTGTCATTCATGTCGGGGTTGGCTCAGGCTGGTGATGCCGTTGCTCTGGCCAGCTGACGAACGGTGACATGTTGTTTGAGTTTGTTTGAACATGACTGCATGCTTTGTCCCAGCACCAATCCAGACCAGCCAATCCCATCCTGGGCTACCGATTAAAAAAAAAAAAACAATCTTTGCATAAAAATAACATAGGAAAACGTTGTCCATAAAGATACGCCATTTTCCATTCTGTGGTGCATGGGGATTGCTAAGGGCTAACACCAACACCCCCTGCCAAGGATGCTGGATCCTTCTTCTTTTGGACTGTTTGAAGGATCACTTTAAGATTATTGTTTAAATACATTAATGTTCTGAATACTTGGAACTAAAGGGCTTGTCATTTGATTGAAGAATAATAGCACTTTTTGAAATAAACCGAAGCATTGTAGAAACAGATTAGAAAAGTAATAAAATCATATACAATATATGAAATTGACAAATTTAAGTATTTGTTTCTAATCAGTAAAGCAGTGTTTTATGGCATGAACCTGTTTTTACAAAAAATATATTTTATTGTATCACTGCACTTTGCTTGTGAGGATTAAGTGTTTACAAGAACAAGTGGTTATATCAAAGATGCATACAATTCATACAACATGCCCTATATAACTGTCATGCATGCATATGTTTGATGTGTATACATGCATTACACAGTTGTTTTATATGTTTGGTTTACCTATATTTGCAGAAAAGAAACGCATAGTCCTTTCATTTTTGCATGTACATGTTTTAAAATTTCACATTTCAGATCCAGTGTGCTGCGTTTACAGTATGTATGCGTGAACTTTTCTGTCTATGCAAAAAAGAGTGTGATATTAAATGAAAAAGCCGTGACATTGCAGGTTCTGCCTCATTGGGTCACTAAGCAAACATGAATCCGAGTACAACACAACTAGGGTCTAAGAGACAGTCTCAAGGTAAGGACTCAGTACATGGACCCATCCCCCTGTTTTGTCAAATCATTGTAATTCAGTGTAAGTCCACATATGCTGCCACACTTGATTTATCCTAAATGTGGGTGCTTCTCACTACTGGCAAATGGTTTCTGTTTGTGTTGTAAATTAATTTCCATTTCAATGATTTGTTTACCAGCCATATTTGTTGGTAGGTTTGCATATTATTTCTGTCCTTGTAGTTTTTGCTTGTGTGTCTTGAGTCACTGAATGTTTGATTTTTGTTTATCCATATGCATAAATTTTAACATTTGGTAGATATTTTCATCTAAGGAGAACGCCCTTTTTTATGTTTGCGCTGATGCAGACGACAGTCAGTTAACAGTATTTGCTAATATTATGCATAAATTCCACGTAACACTTTGTGTCATGTTATACTTCAGTCATCTTTATTCATAATGTAATCAGTAATAGTTTTTAAATTAATTTTGCTTCCATGATCTAAAATTAATTGGGTCTGTGAATAATACAATACAATGATTATGATCTTTTGTAATCTATAGGGGCCACTTGCAATGAGCAGTGTTAGTATGACTGGCTTATGTTTGAGAGACAGGTCCCCTTGAGCTAGCCAGCGGGAACCTGATTTCTCTGGTGAGGGAATCAAGTGTATTGCAGCTACAGTGGTAAAAATAATTGAAGATATTATTTTGTTCTTCTTCTTCTTAGAATAAAACCAAAAACAGAAAGAAACAAGACTTCGACCGGTGTCCACTTTTTTCCCCACCCGGCCATTCAAGCTGAAATTTTGCAATGAAGTGCAACATCTGTTATATTCACATCCTGAGATCTGACATAAGCACACATTTCCTTAGTGCTTTCTCAACAAGGGCATAAATTCCAGAAAGTTCACCATCCCTCTATTGAGTCTTAGGTAGGGTTGGTGTGCTTCTCAAATGGAACAAATTTCAAGTCTCTCCCAGTTGTCTAGAGTTATATTTACATATTTTGCAGTGGCAGGCCTATAGCCAGAAATAATTTTTGTGGGCGGTCCAGCAGCCTTACTGATAGACCTCTAGGTAAATTTTCGCCAACCAATGGGGGATCTCCCGTTGTAGATTTTGCGGACTGGGGTCTCCCATAAATTTTGCCAAGCCGCTAAACCAGGGCTGTCAAACTCCAGTCTTGGGGGGGCCGGAGCTCTACACATTTTGGGTTTCCTCTCATTTAATACACCCCATTCAACTCCTTGTGCTAATTACCACACAGCTCTTGAGATGAATGATTTGTGGTGGAACAGGAAAAGGTACACACGGCTCTGGTGCTACACAAACCTTCAAGGCTGGGTCATTTTATTATGTGGCTTTGTGTCTGATCAGTAAAAATCATTTTGCGGGGGTTCAAAGCCATAATAATATGTGGCTATATGCTTCTTTAGCAGACACTTTTGTCCAAAGCAACATTCAAGCAAGGCAAATAGCACATTGCAAATATAACTGCAGATAGACTCCTATTAATGTCCAGTTCTAGGTACAAGTGTAGGCGGTATTGCAGCAGGAGCTACACAACAGCCATTAACAAAGTAAGAACCTAATACGACAATAGGACTAATATTTAAGGGTCAGAAGTGCAACATAAGAGTATTCAATGAACATAAAGAGGCATCAAGTTAGTTGAGGAATTGGGTATTGAAGTGTTTATTGAAGGTGGAGAGGGAGTCTGATGACCGGACAGGGTTCGGCAGCTCACTCCACCATCAGAGAACCACACAAGAACTATCTGGAGTGAAACTTCATGTGGCATTAGTTTGCTGACCGAAGGAGGCGAGATGGGACATAGGAGGGTGCTTGTCCATTGACGGACCTTTCAGCTAGCACCTAGGACTCAAACTTGATGCAAGTTCCAATAGGGAGTCAGTGAAAAGAGACAAGGAGGGGTTTGGCATGTTAATCTATATTGGTCTAGCAGCACAAGATGGTAGGCTTGCTTTTGGAGAGTTGCAATAATCAAGCCGTGAGGTAACAAATGTCTGAAGTAAAAGCTGAGCTGCATACTTAGACAGAAAAGTCTAATCTTCCTAATGCTATACCAGGTAAATCTGCAAGATTGGGAGACCACTGTTATATCCTCAAATGATCATCTGTCGTTACCCCTAGGTTCTTAGGAGACCTTGGTGAAGAGGGTGTGGATGTTGCGATAGGTGGTAGAACTGGTAGGAAGACTTAGTCTTGGAGATGTAAAAATGAAGTTGGTGGTCCCTCATCCAAGCTGCGATGTCAGCCAAGCATGCAGAGATCCTGGCAGACACCATGGTGTCACCAGCTGAGAAGGTCAAGTAGATGTGGATGTCAGTGTAGTAGTGGTAGGAGAAGCCATGGGACCGGATGACCTAGACAAGTAACTTAAAGAGAAAAGAAAAGAGGACCAAGGACAGAGCCTTGGAGAACACCGGTTGTTACCTGATGTGATTTGGATACCTCTTTGCCCCAAACCACTTGGAATGATCTGTCTGACAGGCATGAGTCAAACCAGCACAGAACAGTCCCCATAATGCCAAACTGAGAAAGGGTGGCCAGGATGATTAGGTGATTAACTATGTCAAATGTCACAGAGAGGTCAAGCAGCATCAGGACGGTTGACTGGGATGCAGCTCTTGCAGCTGTCCGTGTCTACAGCAGTGACAACGGCAGAGTCTCAGTTGAGTGTCCATGTCTGAAGCCTGGCTGAAGTGGGTCCAGGAGGTTCTTTATTAGAAATTCAGAGATATGACTGAGGATAGTACATTTACAAGTTTTGGAAAAGAATGAGAGGAGGGAGACTGACCAATACAATCCGTGAAGGATTGAGTGGAGGTTTATTAAACAGTGGTGTTTCCCGAGCCTGCTTATGTGGCAGGGAATGTGCCAGTCATAAGGGATAAATGAAACAGGTGTCTAAGTGCAGGGGTAATATTAATACATATGGATTGCATGGTGGCTGCTTTAAATTGACTTATACTTGTTAACCTCAAAAATGACTATAGCACTGACTATAAATCGCTCTAATTCAATATTATCAGCCGTGGGAGGCTGTTCAGTGGGAATGACTTCAACATTCTCACAGTCCCCATTATAAGCTTTTCATGGGGACCGTAACTTGACAGCATGAATTGCACTTATGTCCACAGGTGAATTTCATATCCTTATGCATGATAATGTGAACCCAAATTTTTCAATTATACAGTCACTTCATGTTAAAATTGAACAGTTTGGTATTGGTATGGGTAGAGTACATAAAGATTAATAACAGATCAGATAATCGGCACATACCACACAAACCTGCAGCTGTATTTCTGATATTCATTGCAATTGGCCCTAGTTACCAGTCAGTTTTTGAAAATAATTTGAAATTGCTAAATTTAATATTAAATCTTTAGTATTAAAATGTTACATTTTCAGTTATATATTAATCTCAACTGGATTTTTAACAGCTTATATGCTTTAATGCTTTCATTTTTGTTTCTCCCTTGTTAAATCCACATTTTCCTAACCATTTCTCTGTCCTTTTTTAAAGCACCATGTTCCCACTCTGATATTTAACGTCACTATTGTGTCACTTTGAACAGTGTATGATTTGCAATGTACTTGCTTCTGTTCTGCATTACATGTGCATTGTTTTCATTATATAGACGTCTTGAATATAGTGCAATCCTGGATGAGTACGAACAAGCTTCACTGCATTGTGAACACATGGACCGGAGACATACACCAGCATGATGATTCATGGACACTTTATAGCGAAACACCTTAAATGTAATACATGTTAATCTAATAGTGAGACTGACTGGATGGACTGGCGATGGGTACCATCCATGAAACTTGAAATCAGATGGGCTAATTCATTGCCATTATTGTTGCTCACTTTTTCTGTTGTTGTGAACTTACTGGAAAGATATTGAAACAGCCAATTTAGTTTTAATTTAAAAAAAAACTTCGAGTCATTTTAGGAAGTCTTTTGCTTAAAGGAATCTTCAGCTTAAAGAAAAAAAATAAAACCTTTGTTCTGGATGATTTTTTACGAAAGGCATGGCAATTTCCCTTTATGTTTTATGATACAATTCCTTTGTTAAAGGCTTAAAATCTGTACCTTTCTAAGAAATATGTAAATTATTTCTTGTATTAACTATTTCTAACTACATTTTTCTACAGAAATTTCACAGTTGTAGAAAATAACGTGTGCATGTCTTTATATTTCTTTAAAACTAAGAGTGTTAATATGTTTATCAGTACTTATTCACATTCATTCACTTTCTGACTGATTGGGTCCTTCAAAATAGGTTAACATAATTTGATCATATTAATACTGAAATAAGAAAATGCATGCTAAAAGATTAACATATATATTCCAAATTGATTATAAATAGCACATAGATTTATTGTTTTAGTTTAATTATATTTTCAGTTCTTTTCAGTGCAGATATCTTCACATGTAACCTGTGTATCCTGGCAGCATGTGACCTTTCTAAGCAATTAAAAAAAAAAATTTCTAATGCAAATATTATGAAGCAGATCAGCTCTAAACCAGGAGGGTGCCTTTCAGAGCAGATTTTCCCAATAAATTCTTTCTAAAAAATAAATCTAATTGATTTTCTGTGAACATTTTCATAAAGTTGTGTTGCTTATTCGCTCTGCCTTGTCTGTACTATTTATTTGTATGCCGAGACAAGCAGTGACATCACCAGCATGCTTTTGAGCAGAACTCCAGATGGCAAAGTGGTTGAGGAGCTAAAGTGCCATTCTGCACCTGGAATAGTTATGAAGAGCATTATAGTCACAATGCTTGTGGCATAATAGGAAAGTGAACAATGTGTGAATCTGTAATCATCCAACAAATTACAAGATGTTTACGACAGTGTGATGTAAAGAAGGCCTAAATTTAATCCAGAGAGTGGTTAAGCAGTTGTAGGTGTTACTAAAGTAACAATATTATATGTAAGGATGCATAAGCAGTATTATATACATATATATTTTTCAGATTAAGAGTGCTTTATTGTCATTGTATAATAATGGGATTGTGTAAAACCTGGGGCATACATCACGAAGTAGGGTTTGTTGCTTAGCCAGATAATCCGTCACATTTAAGGTAGTCCTGGCTAAATGTAAGTGAATGACAATAAAGTATATCTAAACCGTGGTACCTTAAATCTGACAAGTTATCTAGCTAACCAACAAATCTCGCTTTGTGATATAGGCCCCAGATGCTAAGATTAAGGTCAGATGACATGACACATTCGGTTGATTTGCAAACAGAACCGAAAAGGTATATTCAATCAAGGAATCCGTCTTCCAGCTGCAAATCCTGGACAGGGTCACAGGAGACTATCCCTGGGGTGGGGGGGGGCATGAGGCTGGGGGACACCCTGGATGGAACGCCAGTCCATCACAAGGGACACACACTCCATGGGCGATTTAGAGATACCAATTAGCCTGACCATATGTCTTTGCACTGTAGGAGGAAACAAGAGATATGCCGCAGAACAGTACGTAGGAGGCCGTCATGCTATCTGCCAAGCCACTGTGCCTCCCAGATTAAGGAACCATGAACACTAAAGCATTCAAGCACAAAACGATAGTAGCCCTATGTGGTGGGCTGCTTACCGCTGCCTGTATATATTTAAAAACTGCATGAGTATTGCCACTCTGACCAACATCAAAAACTGAAGATGCAAAAGAAAATTCTCTTAACATTATCTTCAAGTTAACCGTGTCAGGTTTTTCAAATTAAGGGTGATCTCAAGGCCAGCTGAAAATGAATCTGTACTCTGATAATCCTTCTTGATGAATTCCACTGTGCTCATTAGAAATTATGCTTTTCAGTTCCAGAAGCTTACACCATAGTGCTTTTACACCATGAAACTCGAAATAATTGGAGTTATTTGTGGCCCACAACTGATGCCAGATAAACAGAAAAAAATGTATGTGTCTAAAAAAATTAATATTTTTGAATGCTCAAGCAATTTCTTTAGGGAGACTGTCAAATTTGCTTTTGTGTGGATAGGTGCTATGACTGACATTTGCTGCATAATATAACAAATAATAGTATGTAATAAGCTGCTAAATAAACTGACATATACTGGCTAATAGTGACTCAAACATTTCTAACTATAACAAAATTATGAATTAATAAATCCATATTTATGAAATTTAAGTGTGTCTTTGTCTGTCCCATATTATTATTATTATTACATTTTGGCAAAAAGCCACGTTTTTATTGATTCTTGAATGTGAGTCTGTCGTTTTGATCATTTTAGTTTGCAATTCAGTTGACATTAAATGCTGATGTGTCTCTTTTTCTTTTGGTTTGATTCATATATACAATCCCTTTGTTCTTTTTTTCCAACTTTTTCTCTGTGTACAGTTGACCATTAATTTGCAAGTGTTATGTTAAGATTGTAATTAATGTCTTGACTTGAAAAAAGTTCATGTTAAATATTTATCTCTCGTCTGTTTCATTCCAACCATGCTTTCAAGTAAGTAACAATTATGATACATTGTAACAAAAGAATATGTATGCAAATTAAGACTCAAGGTGAATTATGCAATACATCACATCATTACACATTTCACGGGAAGATAACGATGGTCCTTAGATCTACAGAAATACCCTTAAAACTAGTTACTAACAATTTATACATACAG